TATTCCCAGCCAATGGTCCCTTTTTAAAATTTTCCATTGATACATACATTCCATCTGGCAGGTGCTGTCAATATTACCATTGATGACCTTTGTTTGTGTAGTCTTTGCATCCCCAAAAGTTAAGCCACTTTTAACTTTCTACAGTGGATGTATCTCTTGTTCCACAATATTCATGAAGTGGCATGCATTTGCAACTTCTCAGTTTATTTTCATTTCTAATGTAGTGATAAAATAATAAATATAGTCATTGTGTTAAAAAAAAAACATACTGTGTTATCTGAATTCCAAGATGCTGCTGAATCTGACCTCTGGTTTTCTGTGTTTCTGGAAGACCAGCATGCAGCCGACAGTCCCCGTGACGAGAAGTGTGGAGCCTGATGTTCACGTCAGTGAGGCTGCCCTGGGTGGCTGGCTGCAAAACAGGCCTCACACAAAGCTTGCCGACTTCTAAGCCGCACTGGACCTGCTTGAATCTGTCGCTATTGCTGTTAAGGTACTGATCCTTTCAGCTGTGAGGCTGCCAAAAACTCAATGTGGTGGCTTACAGCTGTGAGCCAAGTGTTTACCCTTCTAACTGCTTTCTAATTATGACTGATTTCTAGGTCTTCTTGAAGGTAATAAAGTTGGGAAATCTCGCATAAGAGCAGGGTTGTCAAACTTTTTCGACTGAGGAGACCTTAATACAGTTAAAAATTACTGAGGACCCTAAAGATTTTTATGTAGGTTATATCCAGTGGTGTGTTGGAGTCAGCTTGTATCAGAATTCGATATTCAGGAATTTTTCAAGCCCAATGTCGAACCATTGAAAGCCTGAAATTGGCAGCCGAGAAGGGTATTTACACTATGGAAATTGGTGAAGGCTCCGTACAGGGGCCTTTTTCTTTCTCTGGAGATCACAGCAAACCACACTGATTATATCCACCATTTACCATGTTGGACATTAAAATGGAGAACTTTTGAAAATATTTCTTTCACTTAAAAATAACAATAAATCCATGACATGTTAACATAAATATCATACTTTTTCACAAAAAATTTTTTCTTCCCAAAACAATGATTTCTTGAGGAGAGTTGCACTGTTTTCTATTTTTGCAAATTTCTGGAATGGCTGGCTTTGAGAGAAGACAGATTTTCCTGTCCCCTGCATTCAGTCTGTTGCAATATCACATGTCATGCAGCCACTGGAAAAAACTATATGGCCGTGAGAGAATCAGACCAAGAAAAGGCAAATAACACGTTAGTGTTTTAAGATAGTTTTGACCTCGTACATCTTCTACAATGGTCTCAAGGACTCAGAATCACTGCATTGGAGCATTTCTTCTCTGTTCAGACTGCAGCTTGCTTAACCACACCTCCTTCATGAAACACAGATTTATCCTGTGCTCAGTTACTCTCCACACACACATCTGGTCTAGTAGTTTTGAAAGGAATAGCCATACAGTGATGCCAATTCTGCCAGGAAATTACGGTTGGTGACTGTTTTCCCCCTTAATTTTTACTATGACACCTGGGCAAAGATAAGCTTCTAGTGGAGGGTCCAGGCCTCACACACTTAAAAAGCTTGGTCATAAACACCGCTTAACTTTTTCCACTTGATCTCAGAGCTCAAAGATATGCCTGAAAGATATGCCAACACTTTTCTTAATTTCTTACAAGTATAACCTAAAATTTTCAACATTTATATTCAACAACCAAATATTCTATTTCCTTAAAAATCCTATTTTTGACTTGGTCAGAAAAACAAGCATTTTTGTGTTAAGGAAATTCAAGTGTGTGTGTGTTTTAAAGATTTTATTTGAGAGCGAGCACAAGCAGGGGGAGGGGCAAAGGTAGAAGCAGACTCCCCGCCGAGCAGGGAGCCCGACATGGGGCTCGATCCCAGGACCCTGGGATCGTGACCTGAGCCGAAAGCAGCCGCTGAACTGACTGAGCCACCCAGGTGCCCCTAAAGTGTGGTTTACTTTTTAAAGATTTTATTTATTTGACAGAGAGAGATAGCGAGAGCAGGAACACAAGCAGGGGGAGTGGGAGAGGGAGAAGCAGACCTCCCGCGGAGCAGGGAACCCGATGCGGGGCTCCATCCCAGGGTCCTGGGATCATGACCTGAGCTGAGGGCAGACGCTTAACGACTGAGCCACCCAGGTGCCCCAAGTGTGGTTTATTTTTTAGCTTCAAACATATTTTGAAAAATAACAATAGAAGAGTTGAAAGGTCACTTTCTGATAAGGGCAGAGATCCTATTTCTGGTGGCCACAAGCTGGGCATCCTTTAATATAGCCAATCCTGAAACACTTTCTGAGTGTCCAGGCCTCAGAAACTTAAACTTGTGTATTAACTTAAAAATACTCTGTGTTCACAGAATTCTTTTTCAACTGAAAACAGTTTTTCTGTTGACTATGAATCTAGAAATATGTTATTAGGATGTTTCTTACTGATTTTCAACTCTCAGAGGTACTTATCATTTTACTTTTAATTTGCTCTCCTGCCCCCTGCCCCAGGGAGCACTGGATGACAAAGGGCTGTCCCTCAAAGGGCAGTCCTCCTTGGGGTTTCATCATAGCCTCCTGGCTCTGACATGTCATTTGTTTCTCTCTTCCCTACCAAAGAACTGCAGACTGTTCATGATGCCTACAATCCAGGAATCTGAACATATTCTCAATGATACAACCTTAAGTTTTCTTAAGAGGGGATTGAACAAACAAAAAAAAGACACAGAAAGCTCATCACCCAATCCCTTTGTTCTTCCAGATCCATTCTACATGTCCCAAGATGCAGACCTTTATGGACTAAGCCAACCCAGGTTCCCTTGACCTCTGAGTTTGGAGCAAGACCAAGGAGGCACCAGCGGGGAGGTCAGAGGGTTGCAGGAGAGGAGGTATTCCCTCCTCCACCCCTTTGGGCCTGGGGTGGTAATAGCTTCCCCTAACTGCTAGTCCGTGGGGTGCTTCACCATCTCCTGGTGGTTCCCTCGACCCTGTTGGTATCTCTGAACACTGCCTCTTCATTAAACACTCTTCAGCTAAACCCTAAGACCTGGCCTTCCTCCAGTGGCTCTGAAAGACAAAGTCTATTTATTTATTTATTCCAAACAGATACCAAGCAAACTTCCATCTTTATTAATATAGGTTGCATACATTTTTTATTTTTTTAAGATTTTATTTATTTATATGACAGAGACAGAGATAGCGAGAGAGGGAACACAAGCAGGGGGAGTGGGAGAGGGAGAAGCAGGCTTCCCGCTGAGCAGGGAGCCGGATGTGGGACTTGATCCCAGGACCCTGGGATCATGACCTGAGCTGAAGGCAGATGCTTAATGACTGAGCCACCCAGGCGCCCAGGTTACATACATTTTTAAAAAAGAGAGAACATAAAAACAATCACATAAGTACAGACTAATAATATAGTAATGATAGTCATATTAAGTCAGAGGTATTTTAACATTTCAGATTGAATAAAGAAGTAAATCTCCACTGAGTTGGATAAAATACAGTAACTAAGTTAATAAAATCAATGCTAAAAAATAAAATCAATGCTAGCTTATAGTTACATTATGTTATTTGATGTACATTATTCTATGGCATTTGGAAATAGTTTGCTCTTTTAAATAGGTTAAGCATTTGCCTTGCAACTTTTCACTTTTTTCGTTTGTGTAAAAGGCCAACATTGCTTCATAAGAAAAAAAATATACATTTCAACCTAGTTTTCAAATTATTTTGTGAAATCCATAAGGATTTTCTGTACTTGATACTAATCAGGGGGTTAAAAAATGCTTTTAAAATCATGTCATTAACTCTTAAAAAAAGTGAATGGAAAATATAGAATCTTTTCAAAGTCCGTTTCATTTTCTTCTGTTATTTCTCATCAAACCAGCATAATGGATTCTTTTTTAAAAAATTTGATTTAAAAAATGATTTTAATTTATTGAAAGCATTTGTAAATAAATCATGTCCAATCAATACAGACTGGAGGACTTGTTTTTAAAAATACGCTTCCTATATTGTGTTATGTTTTCTTCTCAAGTTATAACCACAGGAAGCAGTAACCCAAATGTTCAATGTTCTTCACTGACAATCCTTGCTTGTACGAAACCTGCACGGTGACATCTGGCTAAAAAAACTTCTTATAGAAGGACATATTTATTTATTATACACATGCCACACTCTGTATCGGTCTACTTTGTTTTCCTTGAAGGCAGGTCTCAGGCTTACTCAAGTCTATATGCCCAGCACCCATCCTTGTGACCAGAGCACAAAATGTGTGTTCATGTTTGCTCCGTGAGTGTTTCCATTCCAGAATGCTCCTTGGGGGATAATTGCTGGAAGCGAGTGGGCCTTCTTTCTCTGTTCTTAAAATGGGCAGAGAACTCTTTTATATCTCCTGGGATAGCACAACCTACTTTGCCAATTTCTAATAAACAAGGTAGTTCACAGCCACCCCTTGAGGGAACCTCAGGAGGAGAGAGCAACTGTAGTGGTCCTAGTCCTGACCTCCGGGAGGCTCAGCTGGAGGGTTTCTGGCCAGTGCATGTCTGAAACGGCCCTGTTCTGTGTCTGTTGTTTGGAGTCCTCCATCCAGCGCAGGTTACTTTGAAAGCCAACCTAAGGTCATTTGTGGGACCTACGCTCATTCTTGCTTTACAGACACAGAATGTAAAACATCAAAAATGCTACCCAAATCATCTGTTTTCATAATTTAAAGAATTCAAACCTCGGTATGCTTAAAATGAAAAACAGTGGAACTTTTTCTACACACAGATAGCACTAAGTCTTATCCCTTAATAACTTAAACATTGCTGTTGAACAATTTTAAAATACACTTATTTGCAAAAGCTACATAAGTCCAAACCACAGAATCCCTCCCAAATGATGAACATCTTCAGATGTTCAGGGCTAAACTCCACCAACCTAAACCTTTCTTTCCTTAATCTCTGGTGGGAAAAAAGGGAGGGTTCCAAAGAGCCTATTCTACACCACACTGCAAACGATGCAAGGATGCGTATCCACACCTACACACACACACACGGTAGGTCACCTAAGTCTCAGAAAATGACATTCAGTTATTATTGTAGCGCTGGCAATACTCTCTTGGAATGATACTGTTTTCTCTTCTTGTTATCTTTTCCTGTAACTAACGAATAGATATGATCAATGGCTCTGTAAGAAAGAGACATGCAAATCAGACTTGTCGTTTTTGATCATAAATACCTTTTTGGCAGGGACTAATAGAATCCTCAAGCTATTCACTTTTTTAACCTCTTCTTTTTACCTCACCAGCAGTCCCCTTTTCTAAGTTAAGAGCTTTTTGTATATGCTGTTATTCAGGTTACTAGAGCAGGTATCCATTTTACTCGCCATCAAATGACCGCTGCTGTTGTAGCTGCCGGGATCAGAGCTTTCTTTGCAGCATAAGATGCTGTAGAGGTACCTCTGGCACTCAGAAGAAGCATAATAGTAAATCAGGGGGTCAATGCAACAGCTTATGCTGCTGACACAGACACAGAGGAGGTAAGCAAAGTAGGCAGCCTCTGTCGTGGACTCTTGAGAAAGGAATGAATAATGCAGAATCAGGAGGACATTTGTGGGTCCGAAGCAGATGATGAAGATGCAGAAAACAGCAAGCGACAAGAACAAAGCCCGGGACTTCTTGCTCTGGTTGGCGACCGCGGAGGAGCTAAGGCATCGAATGATAGACACATAGCAGATGGTGGAAACGACCAGGGGCACAAAGAAGAAGACAGCAGAGAAGGCTGAGAAGTAATAGGCGTAATAGCCTTCGAGCAGGGTTTCATTGAGCACGTCATGGCAGGTGGTGATGTTGAGCCCCGACACCTGGGTGGTTTGCTCCTGGAGGAGGAGAGGCACCACCCCCGCGATGGCCATAGCCCAGATGGCCAGACAAGTGAAGGAAGCCCTCCCCAGAGTACGCCAGGAGAGGGACTGGATGGGGTAAACCACGGCCAAAAACCGGTCAATGCTTATGACTGTCATGAGCATGATGGAGGCATACATGTTACAGTAAAAGGCCGCGGTGACGAAGCGACACATTTCAGAACCAAACTTCCAATCGCTGCCGGAAAAGTAATAGCTGATCTTGAACGGGAGCACTGACACGAACAGCACATCCGCCGTGGCCAGATGCAGCATGTACACCACAGCGGGCTTCTTGATCTTCATCTTCAAGATAAACACAAGGATGGCCATGACATTCAGAGGAAGGCTTACTACAAACACGCCAGTGTAGACAGAGGGGATAAAAAGCGTCAGCCAGGCACTGGTCAGATATCCCCAGGCATCTTCCGTGATAAACCCAGGGGGCCGTTTTTGAAGAGGATGGCTTACATTGATGGAGCTTAGTCTGTCTTCAGGGAACTCACTCCCGTTTTTCTCCTCATTGTCCTCCAGTGGGAATGGTTCAAATATATCATTGGTATTCTTGAGAAAAAATGACCGGGGATCCACAGTAGCATTGGTTGCTTTTGACTCTTAAAAAAAAAAAAAAAATTAAAAAGTCAAAAAGACAAAGAGAATACATTTTATTTTTAGTGCTCCCACCCACAAGAGTGGGTGGGAAAGAGCAAGTAATGTACAAATGGATTACAGACCTTATCAGGGAATTAGCTCACTCAAAATACTGTACAGCATTTTTTGTTGGCATAAGCAAACACTTAAAACTCTGCTCCTTAGAAGGACAGAAGCAAATGATACACTTTCAGAGATGTACCCTGAAGACATCAGAAAAGGCTGAGTGCCTGACATAAAGGAAAAAAGCAGTGACTTCTTTTCCATACTAGCTACGGTCTCTATAAACAAATCCCTCCCAGGCTCTATGATTTGGCTTTCCTCCACAGGCCTTCATTTCCTCCATTTAGTTTGCAGACACCCCTGGAAACCCGTGGTTCCCAATGGAAACATCTACACAGAAAGGTGAGGGGACTTCTTAAGTTACGGAGCTAGAGGCAAATTTGGAGTAGGACGGAGGGCTCCCATTTCCATGGCCATTGTCTATGTGACAGTAGTTTTCCTCTACTATCTTTAGTTTGTTTATACCATAGGATGTTCCAAATCTCTCACCATATTTGGACCCAAATCAACAGTCCCTCGGGTTATCTTTTAACATAACCACCAGGTGCACACCCCCTCAGTCATCTTCCTGTCTCCTTCCTGAGCAGGCTTGTGGAGGAGCAGGTGTTCTAGGCCGATGCCAGGCCAGTCAGGCTTTCCTGAGTGTCAACCGGCAGTCAAAATAAAGGCTCAGTTGCAAACTTCCTCCTTTCATCACCCTCTTCCACCAAAAGCATCCACTTAAAATGTTCATCAGAGAAAGGCAACACTTAGCTGCTGTAATTCAACCAGCTTTTCCTGCTGAGGAGCTTTTGCTCAAGTTTTGTCATTGAGGAGACTTGGATGAAGAGCTTTGGTGGGCCCTGGGAAACTGAGGACCAGGGAGAGAAAGCACAGAGGAAAAGGGGCGAAGCCTCCATCACTGGGGGTGCCGCAACAAACACTGGATGTGCAGGTCACTCAGAAGTGATGTTAGAGGATTTAAAATCTGGCTAGAAACTGGGTAAGTATAGTGGATTTTCAAACTTTTGGTCTTAATTTTCAGTGGTGAATCCTTTGTGCCAACAAAAGCTTACACAGAGAGGCATAATGCAATACAAGAGATAGTTCTCATTCTGGAATGGCTCTGTAAGGACACCGGACCCAACCATCCCTGAGATGAAAATTAAAAACCCTTGACCTCCTTCCTCCCCCCGAATCAATGACCTGAAGGCATTTAGGCTCCTAAGGTGGTACTGGGGAGAGGAGAAATGATTCTTGAAGGAAAGGATGGCGCCCGGTGACTTTGTTTTCTTGACTTTCATGGTAAGCTCAAGAGAAGGCCAGAATCAATGCCACAAAGGATGGCGAAAACTCAGATAGAAAACCCACAGTTTCCGGCCTGAAGAACCAGAGGACAGAGTTCAGGGCAACTGTAGTCACTGGAAAGTGAGGAAACAATCCCAGGGAGGAAAAGTCAGAGAAGGGAGCCAGCCCTAAATTCCAATGTGAATTTGCCGCAGGCTTTGGTTGACTCTGGAACCATGAACATGTAAGGGATGATGCGAAATAGCTCTGCTAAAGATAGAAGAACTGAAGTGATATTTTTTGCTCAAGATGGAGAGTTTGCACTTCGAGTCCAACCAAATTAATTGCCTGCTAAACAAAAACACCAAAATCCTTTGGAGAAATAAAACAAAATCTTAAGTCTTTACAGTATGGCTGGGGTGCAATCCCAAATCATTTGATACAAAAAGAAACAGAAAAACGTGACCCAGCCTCAAGAAAAAAAGATAATCGGTGGAAACCAATCCCAAGAAGACCCAGAAGTTGGATTTAGCAGATAAGGATTTTGAAGAATGTGTTGCAATGAAGTAAGGGGAAATATCTTGTTGAAATGGATGAAAAAAATAGAAACTATCAGCAAAGAAACCAACCAATGGAAATCGTAGAACTAGAAAGTAAAATACAATAAAGTGGCATCTATTTCCAAAATAAGGAGAGAGTAGAATAGAACAGGGCGCCTGGTGGTGAAAGGTGGAGGTATGGCTCTCTCAGAAAGGTCATAACTGGGCTCCTGAGGGTGAAGGGGTGGCCTGGCAGGACATCTGTCACAGGGAAGGTTAAATGTCTCCAGTGATGAGCTTCTAAGAAAATAGATATGTCTATATTGTTCCTCAAGGGTAAGAAACAAGAAACCATTCCTATTAATCTCTGAATCTCCAGCGCCCTGTACATGGTAGGTGCTCCTTAAATTGGCTTTTTTTTTTTT